CTCTCTCTCTCTCTCTCTCTCTCTCTCTCTCTCTCTCTCTCACACACACACACACACACACACACACACACACACACACCTGTGTTGGGGGGGTACCTTGCTACATGAACTTTCAATATTCTTGCACCAGCAGCCCCGCCTAAGCTGAGCAGGTAGCTTCTACTGCCATAACACTTGTGTTGAGGACCCTGACCGCACAGCTATTGTGGGGGGCAGTAGCCATCTCCAAAAATGAAATTTTAATTAGACAAGTCATCTGTACAAATTACTTGCAGTATTTAAAGTGTTGCACACCTGGCGGGAGATGGTGCCTCTTGAATCTTGTTAGCCTGAGGGTCGCCTTCTTTTCTTCTCCACCTCCCTCTTCCACTCCCTTTCCCCCCCCCCCTTCTGTCTAGGTAGAAATGGTCACTCTAATGAGCAGTTGGCTCATTAAAAACTAGAGCTGCTTGTCTAATTGGTTTTGCCCAATTAAACATCAGCATTCCTTATGTTTTCCTAGGTTGAAATCACTCTTTGGAAAAATTGGTAGTGCAGAGCCACAAGACTCGCCCCTCACTTGGCTTAAATCATCAGTGGACAGAGTACTCACTCTGAAAGGCAACCCCTTGTGCAAATAGCTGGGTGTTTTGGTGGCAAATTGTAAAGCCTGTGGCTTTTGGAATCTGGAAGCAGTAACCTCAAAGTGCTGTTTCAGATGGGTTTCTGGGTTTCATTCTTCACTGGCTGACTATGTGGGCAGGCTGTCTTGCCAAGTACCATCTGAGAAGGGCAGCCTCTGCACCTGCAAACCAGAGTGGGCAGGGAATGACAGGATTTGCTCCCAGTGGGCTAGCTAACCTTGCCTACCCCAGCGTCAGGCCAGGGACACAGGAGGCCTGAGATCTCGTGCTGCTGCCTAGCAGGTAACAGTTTAAACAGTATTCGTGAAAGCAGCCCAGACCTAGTCTTGATGAAGGAATCCGGGAACAAGCCATTCCGCTTGCCTGAAGCACCAGGGAGATGGCATTTAGAGGTGTACACACTAACTTCTACTTTGGTCCTCCCCAGCGGACAGCACTTTCGACAGTGGCCAGGGCTCCACTGTGTACTCGGACTCCCAGAGCAGCCAGCAGAGCATGGTGCTCAGCTCCCTCGTGGACACGACTCCAACCCCAGCCTCGTGTGTGTGCAGCCCCCCTGTGAGTGAGGGGCCTGGCCTGACCCACAACCTGCCTGCACTAGGGGCTTTCCAGCAGCCGGCCACTGTGGTGAGTTTGAGAGCCACCCTGCTCTGTCCTCTTTGCCTCTTGTCTGGACTGTGCTATGGTCGGGTTAGAGTGCCCTATGGTCGACTCCCAGCCACATTTCCCTTGGAGACCTGAAGATGCAATTCATCTTTTCTGGGAGCTGAAGAGCTATAGGCTGAGGGGCCTTAGATGTGAAGAACCCCTGGATAAAGAGTATGGAATATCTGGAAACAGACCTTAGGGTAACTGTGACTCGGAGAACTGTGATAGAACCAACCAGCCTTATCCTGAGGTTGTCACCGGTACCACACAGGTGCATGATGCTGGCACATTGGGGTCTTTCCTGGTCTATCCCAGAGATGACAGAAATGTATCATTTGTGATAACGGAGCTTTGGAATTTGTCTCTGTCCATTCTCCTAGGGAATAGCCGAGACCCCCTGGCATGTCTCCCTCAGGTAGCGGAGCTGTTGAAAGTTGGGGATGAAAATGGGGTTGAAGCAGGGAGGCATTTTCAGTATTTGCACAGGGCACCAGAGGCTCAGGCTTTGAGGATGTCTGACAGGCAGTGTGTGAGATCTGGGAAGTGGATGATGAAGGAGGGGTCAAGCAGGACATTTACTCTGTTTTATGTTTGTGTCTGTGGCATATGCAGGTACACACACCCTTGCATGTACACATGGAGGACTGAGACCCATGTCCAGAGTCTATACCTTACTTTTTCAGACAGGGTTTCTCACTGAGCTTGGAGTTCACTGGCTGGCCAGCAGGTCCTGCTGTCTCCCACCTCCCAGCACTGAGCACAGGTGTACTCTGCCACTTGCCCTCTTACCTAGGTGCTGAGGATCCAAACTCAAGTCCTTGTGCTCCCATGGCAAGCCCTGTCTGTGATTGTTGCCTTTTTTCTAAACATTGAAAAATGCTTGTTTCACAACCCTAAGAACTCAGCTTGAAAATTTGCCTGTGACCTGAGTGGTGGAGCTGGGTCCTCAGAGGGTGATTTAGACCCCCCCCTGGGTGGGTTCTGTCTTCCAGGGTCACTTGGGAGCCCCCACCTGGTAAGCTGGTAGCCCCTGTTGTCACACAGTCTCGGACCGTGATGGCTTCTTGGCACAGACTGAACGCTAGTTCTGCGATCTCTGTCCTCTGCACACGCAGGCAGGCGCTCTTCTTCCTCATGTCCACATCGGATTGAGCAGCTAGAAAGGCCCAACAGGCCTTTTGGAAAAGCAATTGACACCGTGGATCGTGTCTGCCTCTGCTTCTCTGAGCCCTGGGATTCACCGTGATGCGCACATTTGCAATTTTATTTGTAATTTTATTCATTTCCCAAAATGAAATGAGGTTTGATTTTAAATGGCCGGAAGACCTCATGCAATAGGACTTGCTGCCCCAGAGGCTGCTCGGCTAGGGCTGAGCCGGAATGTCCTGCCTGCCTCTCTCACACCTTCAGTCATGGTTAGCGCTACCTTAGGCCTTGGGATGTACTAGCTGCCCTGGTCCTCACCCCATCCACGCTGACCTATGCTTCCTTATCGACCTAGCTGATCTTACTATCCACATGTTAATCAGGAAACTGAGCAGAGAGATCACAACTGCAGACTCGGGCTAGGGTTCTTGGTTCTCTTTCCCTGCCTCCTGATGTAAAGACAACTTAACACAGGAAGGATGGCTTGTGGAGGCTATATCCCGACCTCTTGATGTTTCTGGAGAAGGCCACTATGGTGATATGCGTCAGGATCCAGTGGGATAAACAGACAGGGGCAATGAGGAGGAGGAAGAGGAAATGGAAGACCATCAGGAGTAAGGGGTCACTAGACTCTGCCTTAGCTCCTGAGCCATGGATAGTGGCCGGAGCTCATAAATGGACAGTCTGTCCTGGCCTGGTCTAGTTGGACCAACTCATCTGTCTATGGTTTTAGGTGAACCCAGCTTTGAGACGGGATCCCAAACGTGCCTGCTCCCCACATTCTTGCCCAGAGCACCAGGAAAGGGGAAGTGAGAGTGTTTTAGAGATCCCTGCCTCTGTGCTATGCAGCACATCTTAGAGAAGTCTGCTGGAGAGCAGTGGACATCAGTCCCTCTTCCGAACCATGAACTTGGGTTCAGATATGTTCCCCACAGCCTTCTAGTGTCCTCATTGTTGTGAAGTAAATCCTGGACAACCAGAGATTTTCCCATAAGTACTATGGGGTCTGTCTCTGCACAATGAATATGGTTGGAGAGCTGAACTTAGCAACATGGGACTGCAGAGGACATGAGGTTTGTTCCCAACACTCACGTGGTGGCTCCCGACCATCTGTAACTCTAGTTCTATGAGCTCTGATACCTAATTCTGGCCTCCTTGGGTTCCAGGCATGCGTGTGGTACACAGACATACATGCAAGCAAAATATCATACACATAAAAAAACAAAACAAAGTCCAAAAAAAAAACCCCAGAATATTGACAAAGTAGCAGCCATTCCTTAACCTCGGCATTCTTGGGCTGATTTCCTGTTCTTTTGCTAGCTGCATGGACCAGTGCCCTCCCCGTGTGCCTCCCTGTTTCTGTCCCCTTGTGACTGAGTCTCAGAGGGCCTCTCCTTGCCAAGGGCCTCGCTGTTCTGGTTTTGTTCCCATGGCTGTGTGTCCTCCCCAGCAGCCACAAACTGTATGATCCCATCTCTCCATATGCATTGGCTCATCCTTCTTAGTCCCAGTCGTCACTGGAAATGAGCTGCCCACAGTCTAAAGCCTAAGGAGTCTTTCTCCACGGTGCTGAAAAACCTCTATGATGATCTTTTTACATGGCTGCATAATACTCCATGGGACTTGTGTTCTAGAACATTCCCTGTCTGGGAGCTGTGGCCATATGATGTGGCTTTTCAGTATTGGTGATGGCATTGTAGGGCCACCACACCTGGCTTCTGCTGAGTCACCTTCCTGGGAACAAGGTTCCTGGTGGGGAGGGGGCTGGGCACAGGGACAAGAAAGAACAAGGGCAGCCGCTGAATATGGCCTCTATATTCTCTGCAGCCTGGCCTGTCAGTAGGCCCTGTGCCACCCCCTGCGCGCCCTCCACTCATTCAGCAGCATTTTCCAGAACCTTCCATGAGCTTCACTCCTGTACTACCACCACCCAGTACCCCTGTGCCCATGGGCCCAAGCCAGCCAGCACCCCCAGTCCAGCAGGTAAGTGTGACACTTCATTTTATCCCCTTAAATTGTTCCCTTATGAGGGATAGTTCTGCAGCCAAAGCCTCTAGTGGCTTGGGTGAAGGATGTACCTGTGAGAACATTAGTGTGTGTGTGTGTGTGTGTGTGTGTGTGTGTGTGTGTGTGAGAGAGAGAGAGAGAGAGAGAGAGAGAGAGAGAGAGAGAGAGAGAGAGAGA